CCCCAAAACCCCAAAACCCCAAAACCCCAAGATAGTTGTAAGAGGCTGAAACAAATGATATTTAATTATTTGTTCTTGAACGAGTCGACATAAGACTTGAACATTGACTCTGGGTCCTTAAGCAAGTTGCCAGGACTGTCGTACTCCACCAGTTCTCCGTGACTCAGCACCAAGATCCTGTCGCTGCTCATGATCGTGTTGAGTCGGTGTGCAATCGTGATCACGGTCGAGTCTCTGAACTGAGTGTTAATCAGCTCCTGGATGGTCTGCTCAGTCTTGATGTCGATGTTGGCTGTGGCTTCGTCCATCAGCACCACTCTGTTTTTGCGAAGAATGGCTCTTCAAATGCACAAAAGCTGCTTCTCACCAGAACTGAGGTTGGCCCCACCTTCTTCGATGTTCTGGTCAAGGCCTTTGTCGTCTCGGTCGACCAATTTCTGAAGTGAAGCCTGAGAAGCCAGGTCGAGCAGGGTCGAGTCTGGATGGATACCTTCTGGGTTGAGGTTGAATCGGAGCGAACCGTTGAACAGTGTGGGGTCTTGTGGAATAATTGTGATTTTGTTTCTAAGCTGTTCCAGATCAACAGTGGAGATATCTTGTTCGTCAATGATGATGGATCCTTGATAGGCTTCGACGATTCTTCAGAGTGCAAGACACAGAGTAGATTTGCCTGCACCAGTGCGTCCAACAACTCCGATTTTCTCACCATTGTTGATAGACAAAGAAAGATTTTTAAGGACGGTGGGAGTGGTAGGACGATACTTGAGACTAAAGTTGTTGAATCCAATCCTTCCACTTTTCGGCCACTCTGAGCTAATGTTTTCTTGCTTTTCCTGAGTTACTTCTTGGGGAATATTCAGAAGTTTGACACATCTTTGATATGAAACAAGTTTGCCTTCCAATTCTGTGATTCACTGGGATCCCCAAATTAACTCCATATTCATATTTATCATGTGAACTAAAAATGCTCCGACAAGTACAGGGTTTATTTGGCTCTTAAAATATAGCTATGTTTCAAGTTACCATTGGAACTTACCATTAATATCATTCATGAAATAATTATGAGTCTTCCTGATAGTTCTACTCTGATGTTGAACCATTTTTGAGTTGCATCTTTCCAAAAATTGCAGTTGACCTTTTGGTTCACAATTTCAAAGACTTGATCTTGAAAGAGTTTCTGCTTCTGGAAGTTCCTAATAGTGGTATTTCCTTGTAAAGATTCTGAAACAACAGAGAGAATTGGAGAATATGCCACACTTGATAGTCTATTCAATTCTCTATAGGTCTTTATATACAGTTTTATGATAATGAATCACAAAAGGCCTACAAAGGGAAGCACAGCTGCTGTCCATGGCATTGCTGTGATTGCCACAGAGACGTTGTACCCAAAGGCTACATAAGATTCTGTCATCCAAATTAGTTTTCTAAAGATTATCTAAAAACTTACTCTGAGATTTCGTGATCGACATAGTTAATGTCTTTTGAATATCTGTTCAGAATTACTCCTGAGGGAGTACGATCAAAATATAGATTAATAGAAGCATTCAAGGTTTTGCGAAACATCTGTTGATATAAGATCCTTCCTGATCTCAGAAACACTAGCTTTAGAAAAGTAAATATTCCAGATATGAGTAGTTGGCCTGCTATAGGGAAAAGCCAAGTTAGGATGTAGTTTGTTCCAAAATATGTATCATTCAGATTCTCTACTACCCAGTAACCAAATACAATGCTTGATCTTGCATGAACATAGGCATACAAGGTAAAGAAAGGGAAGGTCATGAGGTAAAATATCCATAATTGATTGTTTCAGAATAGATTTCTGTAAGTCTCCCAACCTACATTGATAACTTCGTTGTTTTCTTCTTCTGTAATTCTTGCTATATTCTTTTCTAAATATGGTTTTTGCTGTTGAATTTCGATTTCTGGAGAATCTTCAGAAGGATTCTCACAAGATGAGTCTTCATCATGTGCCTGATGAGCTAAAACCTCTATAATGTGCTTGATCTCTTCGTGATGCTGCAACTCTTCATATGTTCCATTGTACTTTATCCTCCCTGTCTCCATCACAATGATCCTGTCTACACAGTCAATGAAGTCTACAGCGTGAGTCACCAGCACCCGGGTTTTGTGGCTGAGTTCGGCCGTAAACACAGCCTTGAGTTTGCACTTGACATTGGCGTCTAGAGCACTCACAGGGTCGTCCATCAGCATGATGTCGTTGTCAGCGTAGATGGCTCTAGCCAGACTTACTCTGGCTTTCTGGCCTCCACTTAGATTGATGCCTTTCTCACCTATCTCAGTGAGGTCTCCTCCTGGAAACAGTCCAAGGTCAGGCCCAAGCTCACACATCTCGATGACTTGGTTGTATCGTTGCTCATCCATTCTCTTTCCAAACAGAATGTTGTCTCGGATAGTTTTGTTCTGGATCCAAGGAACTTGCTGCACATAGCTTACAGAGCCTCCGAGTCTGATCACAGAGGCTTCTCGCTGCTGGGCTTCGTGAAGTTCTCGTCTGAGTCCATCATCTAAGACTCTATGTTGGTAAGCCTGAATAGTTTCATCGCTGAGGTAGAGCATGTCACCGAGAATGGCGCTAAGCAAGGAAGATTTGCCAGATCCGACCTGGCCAATGATGCAGACAAACTCTCCTTTGCTGATTTGAAGGTTGATATTCTTAAGTTCTATTGAGTTCCCTAATGTCAATCCAGAAATATAAGGCTGATATATATCTTGCTTTGAGTATTCTTTCTTGCTTTCTTCATCATACTTCCCTTCCTCTAAAGGCTTATACTTTTGCTTGTTCTTGACTTCAATCATTTCGATCAAATCTTTATTCTCATCTAAAACAATTGGTAAAAATTATCCAATGAAATGGCAGCTAGTACCTTTAATATTTTTATCCTCAACTTGAAGATTTTCTTTTGAGACTCCCCAAGTAAAGTTACAATTGTTCATCAAAATATCTATTCCGCTCTGTTCCAGGCCTTCATCTTGTATCTTAATAATATTGGGATTTATTTCAGGGCATTGTAGAAACTTTTGGATTCTCTTCATTGAGACCAAGAACTCCATGTAGCTTCCAATGAAAGCGGGGATCCTCCTCATAGGCTGCTCGAGAGAGTAGAAAATATGCCTGGCTGCGAATGCATAGGCAAGAGTCATTGTGTTTCCGGTAGCGTAGAAAATAGTAAAAGTCAAAACCATAAAAATTGGAGAGATTGCCCATAATGGAATGTACTGTAACCCTCTGGTGATAAAGATCAACTTCACTTTGGATTGTTCTAAGATTCTAAGAGATTTTACCTTCTCATAGAAGTATTTCTCCCAAGAGTTGAGCTTAATCACTTTGATGTTGTTGACAGCCTCTGTAGTGACATTCATTCGTTGATCAGTCTTTTCCAAAGTTTGACTTTGAAGCTTTGCAATCCAAAAAGCAACTTGGAAGTTAAGCATGAAAATGAAGATTGCGATGCAGAGGGAAGGAAGAAAGTTCCACCCAAAATAGTAGAATATGAATACAAGGCCGAATACTAGCTGGATCGGGAGCATCGCGACTGGTGGAAATGTAGAGGAGAGGTTAATCACCTCACCCATATCTACTTGCACAAAATTAATGATCTCTCCTTGTTTAAATTCTTTATTTGAAGAAGGTGTAATTTTGAGAATCTTTTCGTATATCAATCATGTGAGGCTTCCAAAAGCCTTTTCTCCTACCAGAGTTTGAATGAATTGGGCTTGTTGGTTCAGAATAAATGTGGATCCTGTGATTATAACATATCCTGATAGTAAATACACTCCATAAGCAAGTCCTCCATCTTCACCTGAGGGAGCAGACATATACTTCACAATGAAAATGATGAGGAAAGGAATTGAGATCCTTGAGAGAATCATAAAGAAGTTAATCAGGAAAGCAATGAAAAGGTCCCAACCAAACGTCATTGCAAGGCATTTCAGAATTGGAATACCATCTTGATTCTGATATTTTTTCCAGTTCTCTTTAAGTTTTTGGTATTGAGTCTTAGCATCAAGATCTTGATATATCTCTCCTAAGTGTTCAGGCTTGAAGTGGTTCTCCCTCCCAAACTATAAATATGAGTAAGCCTCAATTGTATCAGAAGAAACAAGGTTGGTGAAAATAAATGACTGATAGATTCCAAAAGTCAATTCAGATTCTAAGATAAAGCTAATTTACCTTAATAACAGGGAAAACCCAACTGAAGAATATTTTAGAGATACAGTTTGAATTCAGTAAAGGATGATTCCTGAAAATTGAGTCTGTATGGTTGAAGCCTTTCACATCCTCTTTGCTCATCTCTTCAAGTAAAGCTTGCTTCTGAAGTGAAGATTTATTGTCAATATTATCCATCTTCAATAATTGTGATACTATTAGGGGTTTTGGGGTTTTGGGGTTTTGGGG